ACAAAACCAAGCCAAGAGTTCCCAGTGCACTTCAGATAATGGATGGGCGGCACATAAAAGCTCTGAGAAAAATTTGTTGCGCAAGCCTCAAAAGTAAAAAAAAAAAGACTGACTGCACAGTCCCAGAAAACACTGCAAAGGTTCAGAATCATATCGTAATTTCAAAACCGTTTACCACACATTACAGAGATGGTGAGGGAAAAAATAGCATAGGAGGAAAATTGATATTTTAATGCTTTTTAAATGCTCATTTTCCTCCCAAAACTTTTGTCCCCCTGAAAAACTTTGCGTTCATTCTCAAAAGTTTTGCATTCCATACCCTGGAGCACAAAAGCACTCATAAGTAGCAATAGCCAACAATACACTGCATGGGTCAAAATTATCGTTTTATTTCTTTTATGCCAAAAAATCATTAGGATATTAAGTAAAGATGTTCCATGAAGATATTTTGTACATTTCCTACCATAAATATATCAAAACTTAATTTTTAATTAGTAATATGCATTGCTAAGAACTTCATTTGAACAACTTTAAAGATGATTTTCTCAATATTTAGATTTTTTTGCACCCTCAGATTCCAGATTTTCAAATAGTTGTATCTCAGCCAAATATTGCCCTATCCTAACAAACCATACATCAATGGAAAGCTTATTTATTCTGCTTTTAGATTATGTATAAATCTCACTTTCAAATAATTGACCCTTATGACTGGTTTTGTTCTCCAGGGTCACATATATATTATAGGGGTGACATACCACATCTAAACACACCTGAAATCATGGTAGCTAGCTACAGTTAAAGCGTGGTAACTACAAATTAACCATGGTTTTGCTACACCAACCATAGATTAACCATGGTATTTGTAGTAAAACTGTGGTTATACAAATGGTAATCAATATGGCAAAAAATATTAATGCACATGTCGCGGCAGTTTCAAAGTGAAATGTCCAGTGACGTTTAGTGTCGCTAAAACGACACGCCCACATCAAACCCAACCCTAAACTTACCTGATAATGTTAATGATGACTGAAACCTTTTATAACAGGCACTTCTCGTGTTTATTGCCATCTTATGGTAAATCACTTGTTGTATTCCTCAACTGTAGTCACTTTGGATAAAAGCATCTGCCAAACATAAATGTGATATAAAAACATATTTGCTGACGTATATGTGACGTTTGAAAGTAGGCTATCAATTTTCAAATCTCACAGCATCTTAAAACTGTTTTAAAGTCATAACATAAAATTGTGCAAACATTACTTTCTTAATGGAAACTCTGCCCTGAAAATCATAATTTGTGTGAAAAGAAATAAAAATTGTCAAGAGTTTTACTGCCTCTAGTGCGCATTTCAACTGGAAACCGCTGCGATTCCTTCTTGGGCATCATGGTAGCTAGCTACAGTTAAAGCGTGGTAACTACAAATTAACCATGGTTTTGCTACACCAACCATAGATTAACCATGGTATTTGTAGTAAAACTGTGGTTATACAAATGGTAATCAATATGGCAAAAAATATTAATGCACATGTCGCGGCAGTTTCAAAGTGAAATGTCCAGTGACGTTTAGTGTCGCTAAAACGACACGCCCACATCAAACCCAACCCTAAACTTACCTGATAATGTTAATGATGACTGAAACCTTTTATAACAGGCACTTCTCGTGTTTATTGCCATCTTATGGTAAATCACTTGTTGTATTCCTCAACTGTAGTCACTTTGGATAAAAGCATCTGCCAAACATAAATGTGATATAAAAACATATTTGCTGACGTATATGTGACGTTTGAAAGTAGGCTATCAATTTTCAAATCTCACAGCATCTTAAAACAGTTTTAAAGTCATAACATAAAATTGTGCAAACATTTGACTTTCTTAATGGAAACTCTGCCCTGAAAATCATAATTTGTGTGAAAAGAAATAAAAATGGTCAAGAGTTTTACTGCCTCTAGTGCACATTTCAACTGGAAACCGCTGCGATTCCTTCTTGGGCATGTCTAAGTAGCCTACAGTTTTTTTGGAAATGTGGGTAGAGGAACATATTTACAATGAGCCTGGGTAGCACATTTCCCCCCATGTGTCTTTTATGGTCTCTGTGACCAGTGTTGGGCTTGTTACTCAAAAAATTTAATATATTACATTACACTACTAGTTACCTGGGAAAGTAATATTATTACTGTAATGCGTTACTAGTAACCGGTTACTGCCCAACACGGTCTGTGACAATGCCAAATACTGATATATATGAGACACTCTCATAAAGATCAATTTCATTTCACGCAAGAATTAATTTAGAAAGAGAGAGTATAGTGAAATAATTCTCCCCCTCAGGCTAAGACTGTCCACAAAGAGAGATCTAGTACCCAATATTAAATATTAAACGCTATGAAATTTGAATCCTATCACTGTATGCTTGAGATTAACCATGGTATTTGTAGTAAAACTGTGGTTATACAAATGGTAATCAATATGGCAAAAAATATTAATGCACATGTCGCGGCAGTTTCAAAGTGAAATGTCCAGTGACGTTTAGTGTCGCTAAAACGACACGCCCACATCAAACCCAACCCTAAACTTACCTGATAATGTTAATGATGACTGAAACCTTTTATAACAGGCACTTCTCATGTTTATTGCCATCTTATGGTAAATCACTTGTTGTATTCCTCAACTGTAGTCACTTTGGATAAAAGCATCTGCCAAACATAAATGTGATATAAAAACATATTTGCTGACGTATATGTGACGTTTGAAAGTAGGCTATCAATTTTCAAATCTCACAGCATCTTAAAACTGTTTTAAAGTCATAACATAAAATTGTGCAAACATTACTTTCTTAATGGAAACTCTGCCCTGAAAATCATAATTTGTGTGAAAAGAAATAAAAATTGTCAAGAGTTTTACTGCCTCTAGTGCGCATTTCAACTGGAAACCGCTGCGATTCCTTCTTGGGCATGTCTAAGTAGCCTACAGTTTTTTTGGAAATGTGGGTAGAGGAACATATTTACAATGAGCCTGGGTAGCACATTTCCCCCCATGTGTCTTTTATGGTCTCTGTGACCAGTGTTGGGCTTGTTACTCAAAAAATTTAATATATTACATTACACTACTAGTTACCTGGGAAAGTAATATTATTACTGTAATGCGTTACTAGTAACCGGTTACTGCCCAACACGGTCTGTGACAATGTCAAATACTGATATATATGAGATACTCTCATAAAGATCAATTTCATTTCACGCAAGAATTCATTTAGAAAGAGAAGAGTATAGTGAAATAATTCTCCCCCTCAGGCTAAAACTGTCCACAAAGAGAGATCTAGTACCCAATATTAAATATTAAACGCTATGAAATTTGAATCCTATCACTGTATGCTTGAAATATTTCATTGCAATTTGTGTCAATTCTTGTAGCATCTCTAAGTTCAGAGTGTGCAGCAATAAACCTCACATAAATGAAAAATAAATAACTCATGGCATTCTCTTTCTAAAAATGTTGATGCCAGCCGGGTTGCGCTGAAGAGCAGCACCTAGCCAATGTCACTGCATCGCACCACTTTATTTATAGTATTCTTGTGCTTTGAGCCAAGAATATTTTCTGTAAAAAAAAAGACAGTGTTATTGGGGCTACTGAGCTTGAAGGAAAAGATTGTAAGAGAAACTTATTTCTGTTTGAACCATGTGATCAGACAAATGGTATGTTGACATTCAGACCCACAAATACATATACCACATAAATGGCACTGTCATCTCATGCTGATTTCTGCACTTATGCAACACGCAGATCACGTACAGTATGCCGTACCTACAGCATTTCTACATGCTGTAACACATAATACTTACAAACTAACTGCCACAACAGAAAGTGGCTAGTTTTACAAACTCACAGTCTGGAATAAAACACAGATGCATTCAGAAAAGTAATATCTCCCCCCTCAATTACATTTTGCACATTGTTTCAAAGCAGCTTTACATAAGCTGATGTAATGAGGACATTGCGAATGCTGCACCTTCAGCGTATGCCTGAGATGACATTTTTATATACGTGTGCTCTAATTAATTGACAGTTTTCGATTGACAACTGAGACTAGTAAATACAGCTGTCACATTACACTCAGTCATTACAGAAAAATGGGCCAACTACATATTGTACAACTAGTCCTACATTTAAGAGCAAATCTGGGACACTAAAACAGACCAAACATTGCAGTACACAGCAAGACATAGTGTGGTTTGAAATAATCATTTCATTTCAATTTTCAATATCACACTCTGTTGTGGTTTGTTATACCACTGATATTAAAATTGATTTAACTGATAATATGTGACCCTGGAGCACAAAACCAGTCATAAGGGTCAATTCTTCGAAATTTAGATTTATGCATCATCTAAAAGATCAAAAATTCCATCAATGTATGGTTTGTTAGGATAGGATAATATTTGGCTGAGATACAACTATTTGAAAATCTGGAATCTGAGGGTGCAAAAAAATCTAAATATTGAGAAAATCATCTTTAAAGTTGTCCAAATGAAGTTCTTAGCAATGCATATTACTAATCAAAAATTAAGTTTTAATATATTTACGGTAAGAAATTTACAAAATATCTTCATGGAACATGATCTTTACTTAATATCCTAATGATTTTTGGCATAAAAGAAAAATCTATAATTTTGACCCATACAGTGTATTGTTGGCTATTGCTACAAATATACCCCAGCGACTTAACACTGCTTTTGTGCTCCAGGGTCACATATAATAATTATGTGACATTTCAAACATTGAATATAAATATATAATGTTTCTGAAAATACACTATTTTGTGAGTGCATGATAGCATGTTTATGGGTAATTCATACTGAAAAAATAACGTGTTAATATTCTAAAATTTTGATTTTAATGACACATTTGGATGCTGACTGCTACCAGGAACTAAACAGGAATTTAAAAAGCATTCCAAGTCCAATTTTGAACGGCACCCAGTCTTTGCTGAAAGAAGCTTGACAAAGGCAGTTGTTGGCTGTTAAGTCGAATGATCTGAGATCTGTCATCAAGGGTGAGACGGTGCACATTCTTGCACACGGTGCACACAGGTGTGGTGCTGCCGACCATTTGGAGGGGGGTGAATATAATGAGGAATTGATAGCTGGAGTGCATGTGAAGACATGCTACACGTTGAACCATTGGAATAAAGGCTTCATTGAGCACAGGAATGCTGAAGCTGATGTGGATGTGGTTCAAATCCCTCAGCCGCCACCACATGTTGCAATGCTGTCATCAAAGAGAAAACAGGCTGGAAGAAGGAACTCTAGAAATGAAGGCTTTGAGAGAAACCTCCCAAAAGCCTTTGAACACATAAGTATGCATGTCATTTCCCTCTCAATACTTCACAAATCATCTCTGCACTACTAATACTATAGGATAGGAAATAATTCCATGACTAATAATTGCAATGTCTACTCAGGCTTGAAGTAATCTTTCAGGATCCTATTCACGTGTTTAAATGGTTGATTTATCAAGTTATTCTAGATTGCTCAACAACAAAAGACGAGAGAGAAAAGCAATATCGTGAAACAGAAATTTGTAAAAAGAAAGTAACATATTTTTATGACCGACACTTGTTAAATATCCACTAAGCGAAACGCAGAACAAATAGTTTATTTCTGCTTTGTGATGCAAAAAAAGAATTATATAATATATATTATACTACAAAAATAAAAACATGCACTATTTAGTTAAAATGACAATAATAATAAATTAAATAACTGTTTTGGGCTACACTGTAAAAAATGATTGTGAATTTAACGGTAAAAGACTGTAAAAAAAATGGTTAACGGTAAATTCCCCTACTATACACGGTGAAAAACTGTATTGGACATTACATGTATTGGACATTAATTTTACGGTAGTATACCATTTTTGGAAGTGAAAAATACTGTATAATTTACAGTGAATAACCGTAAATTGACATTCCCAGAATTCCCTGCGTTACATTTCAAATGTGATGTTTTTTTGCTGAAATAACTACGTTTCTTCTTAGTTTTTTCTTATCAGTTTTGTATATTAGGGTTGTGTGTTACACCTAATGTTGTTAAATGAATGTTTATTGCATTATTTCAGTTTCATGTGTGTTACCGTGATGGTGTTTAGTGTTTGTGTGAATGACACTGTGCACCTTCTATATATGTTATTATTTAAAAGCTGCTTGTGATGGGCTTTGGTTCATCATGTGACTTTCTCATCACCACCTGCTTTTGGTGGTTATCAGTGTATTACAAATATACAAAACAGATTTCAGTACTTCAATAGGTTGGTATATTAACATTATATCAGTTAATTAAATTACGGTATTTAACTGTAAATTCAAGTTAAAACCGTAAAACCTAAAATGTTGCTACCGTATTTTTTACGGTAAAATTCCGGCAACCACAGCTGCTGGTTTTTTACCATAAATTTTATGGATTTTTTTTTACAGTGTACATCTAACTAATGATCCTAAAATTAAATGCTATTTGGTGATCAATTTTCACTAGTATCTAACTATTAACTATGACTTTTGCCTCAATAAACTCCTAATTTGCTGCCTATTAATAATTAGTAAGGTAGTTAAGTTTAGGTATGGTGTACTAGGGTAAAGAGATCTAAAGTATGGTCATGCAAAATAAAGCATTGCTTTATTAGTGCTAATAAACAGCCAATATGATGGCAATGTGCACACTAGTTAACAGCGAGAACTGGTCCTGGTATGCAAACTATATATTAAGTTGCATTAGTTCCTTAGAGAGCCACCAAATGGTGCTACATTTTGGAATAGCAGATACCGAAGAACCGATAGCAGGAATATAAAACAGTCCAAGCAACATCAGCATTAAAGCTGACACGAGCCAAAGCTGAACATATATTCTGGGGTCAGACGTACAGCGGCAGTCATGCGTACATTAGATAAGCATTACATCATTACATCATTTCTCAGAATGCAGCAGCAGTATAGTGTGGGTGAAACAATCCCCCATGAGCCCCTGGGGCAGCGTTCCTGTCGGCTGACACAGCAGCTCTTGCAACAGTCTGGGGTTTTTTCCTCTTTTGCAGCTCAAGCTCAAATAACAAAGACTGAAAAACCTCCACCCACAACTGTAATATTCTGTTAGGGTGGCAATTAACATTTTTTGAGAGCTAAAAAAAGCCCTGAAGCTAAATAAGGCTTATTTTGAGCGGTTTTAACTGCTTCAGCACTTCCCGTAACAATCGGCATCAGTGAAATGATTGCAGAGCTTCTGGGAATGGAGCTCTTCTTAGTTGTGACTCGGACTTAGAATGTTACAGAATACTTGCGAAATGTAACTGCTAATAATATTTACAGAGTTTAAATGCGTCTAACCATAGCGACACCTATTGCATCATCTATCTGCAGTGTTTCTGGGTCCTTTTGAAGCATGATAACTGTGATCAGTGTTTTTGGCATGCACATCCCTGAACATTAGCATGAATAAAGCTGTTTTTTTATGCCAGCGATGACATATACCCATTTTACTGGCTGATATTAAACCTATGAAGAACAGGATGTAGCTGTAAGATAACTCGAGTAAACACCTTAAGGCAATACTCACTTGGAGGAAGTGAGATAAAGCTTATATTTCAGTACTTATCAGCATTATCTTGGAGCTTTTTCCATTTTGAACTGTTGTTGTTGAATGACAAAAAAGTATGTATACGTTTTAAGGGTTTATTGCATAAATTGAAAATATTCATAACAACACCTTTTCTAAAAACATTACCCTTACGGCAAAAACTGGGCGGATGTTGACTGGACTGCTTACATGCACACGTTTAAAGTGAAAGCAGCTTTGATGCATAACATCAGCGCTGATTCCTGGAATCAACCTACCCAACCAGATTTAGTATGGGTTATATGCTCCTCAGAGTGGACACATCGTCAATAGAGTATAATGGAGTACTGTACATTGTAAAAGTTTCCATTCTGTGTTAATCTGAAATGCATCCAATTTTATTTTATCAGATGAGAACGAACAACCAAAGACTCTTTATATTACACAAGGAATAGGAAGAAAGTTCACAATGACAACAAAGGACATGCCATGCAAAAAGAAGTTGGAATAGCTTTCATCTTTCAAACATTTCATCTCAAATCCCTACAGGTTTTACCATCATCGGGCCTCCAGGGGCCAGGCATCGCTCCAAATATTTCAGATATGCAACATTCTTTACGAGACTCGCAGGCGATTCAGAAGGCAGCTGCTTGTAATTGGGTTGGTTAGGCCACAGTTACTCGCCCTTATAGCGAGGAGGACGTTTCTCTTTGAACGCCTGCAAACCTTCCAGCCTGTCTTTGGTTGGGATCACCTAGGAGACAACAGAGTCGTATATATCAGAGGAACGCTGAAGCTGAGCTTCTTAAGAGCTAAATATAGTGGCTTCCTGAGTGATCTACGCCAGCGTTCGCGCTCTTCATGAAGAGCATTATGTTAACACTTGAAATGGCTGATACATAGACTTATTACATAAAACTAAAGAAGTGCATGCATTCTTTTGATATACTTAATTTTTGGGCATTTTGGCAGGAGAAACAGGAAAGGGAGGGGAAACAGAATTTGGAAAAGACCTCAAGCTGGGACTTGAACTCCAGTAAATTTGTCAGAGTGCCGCCCATATGGAAATGTTTATTCATCATTGTTAAAATGAATGACTCGATGTTGAAAACAAATGGGGTTTTTACTTCTGGAACCCAACCCAACAATATAAGATCAATATTTCATACAACAAAATTGTAGTTTGATTCTCAAGATTCATGGAAATGTTGATTGTGTAAACGTACCTGAGCATAACATGCCTCTTCAATAGCTAATCCGGTCTTCAAATCCACCTGGAAACAGATCAACAACATCACTCACCAGTCTTGCGTCATCAGTTGTCATTCGCAGACTGTTTATATCAACCACAATTACTGTATTAGCCGCTAGAGAAAGTCTGAAATGATGCTAAATGTGCACACAACACACTTTCTTTTCTCCTTGCAGCCGTAGGAAGAAACCAATAAACGTGCAAGACCCAGGCTAATTGGAAATGACTATGTGGCAGCATTTGTGCAAAATGATTTTACATTGCTTCTTGCAGGTTTCACTATTCCTTCAAAGTGAAACGTCAGGTGAGTGGCGCTAAAAGCACGTTCAGTTTTATGCAAGACAGAATACTATAAATCTGGCAAAGTTTTATTACAGTACACATCATGGCAGTTCTGAAACAAAATGTCCGGTAATTGGTGATGAATGTTAATCTGGTGTATCGCGGTTGAAAACAATGCAGCACCTACACTAAACCTAAACGATAGTGTTAACAAAAGCAAATGTGAGATAAAAGTGAATTTGCTGAGGCAACCATGCTGTTTTAGATTGCTTCTACAAGTCTTTGAGCTCTTTATCTTGTTCGTATTTCACGGGACTCGCATAAAAGCACTTCACATCACACGTACAATGCTTTACCAGGTGCGCTACTGAGCAAGTTTACTTTTTTAGATACGGAGCTGCTTATGTGAGGGAAACGGCAAAATGCATGGGTTCACAAATCATGCACTATGATAAAAGGGTTTTGAGGTCATAACATGGTATCGTGCAAGGAACTGTTCGAAATTTATTTGATAATCCGCCTATGTAATCATAATTTGTGTGATAAAAATAAAATCTGTTGGTGCTTTACTGGCACAAGTGTTCATTTTAGCTGGAAACGGCAGTGAATTGTATGTACGGTCACATTTCAGTTTGGGAACCAATTCTCACTATTAACTACGACTTTTGCCTCAAAGTCATAGTAATTTGATACGGTAGTTAGGTATGGGGTGGATTAAAGGATCTAAAATATGGTCATGCAGAATAAGCCATTAATATGTGCTTTAGAAGTACTAATAAACAGCAAATATGTTAGTAATACGCATGCTAGTTAACAGTGAGAATTGGTCCCTAAACTAAAAAGTGTCCCCATATGTACAGATACTGTATGCTTTTGGAGTTTTGACATTTTTCCAATGCGCCTATGTTGGCATTTTCCTCTTTTAATGACTTCAACAGAATAGCTGAGGAGGTATCTGCTCTGTTAGGTCACTTCCTAAGGGACCTGTGGCCTGAGGGACCTGCGGTGTTGACAGGCCGGCCTCTGGGGTCAAGGTAATGTCATGAAGCAGACTCTGTCTTTGGTATCTCGGATGACAGCTGCACATGACTTCACATACAAACACACTTTCACTGGTAAGCTTATACATGATGAGAAATGAGAGACGTACAGTGGGTAGTACAGCACAGCGTTTTATCATGGTATGTCTGTTCTGATATGTTTGCTTACGGACAACACAATATGAAAATAAACATATCTTTTCAAATAGGAGGAGATAATGCTTCCCTTATCTTTTTTTGTGACGCCAAAGGCAGTAAGATTCAAGTCACCTGGTTGTGCGAAATGGCCTCACTCTAAAAAGAATACAGCACAAGAAAACAACTCTTTATTTTTGGCCAAATAAGTCACGTGCAATCTTACCTCTATTCCCTGGTTGATTGCTAACTTCGCCATTCGAATTGCAATTGGCCCCTGCAAGAGAACAATCATCAAAGCTTCATTAGAACCGTGTACACTGAGAAACTCTCTGAATGGAGCAGCACAAGTGTTTATACCTGAGGGATGAATTCACGGGCCAGATCCAGAGCTCGCAGATACGCCGCATCTCCAGTCTTATTCTGCTCCACAGCGTGATTCACTAGGCCAAGACTCTTGGCTTCGTCACCGCTCAGCACCCGCGCCGCAAATATCAGCTCTTTAGCTACAGACACTCCTACAGTTCGTGGCAGACGCTGAGTTCCCCCTGCAGCCAGAACATGACAAATGTGATTCAAAGAGCCAGTTATTCTACTGGACATGTTGTTTAAATCTGTGACTGAGAATCACACTCCAAACATGTCTGATTAAGTACATACATGACGGTTTAATAGTTTGGGGTTTGTAAGATTCTTAAATGTTTTTAAGGAAGTCAACACTTAGGATGAACTCGCACTAGGCGTTTTGAACTGTGCCCGAGCGCGTTTGACCCCCAAAGCCTGGTTCGTTTGACTAGCTTGATCGCTCCGTGCTGTGCCCGGGCGCAGTTCGTTTAGCCGTCCCTGGCTCGGTTGGAAGAGGTGGACCAGAGCACGGTTCAGTTGGGCTCGGTACGCATGTAGTGTGAGCGCTAACCGTGCCGGAGCACGGAACAGCTACTATTTTGTGTGCGCTACTGTCATCATTATGACCGCAAACATATTCTATTACTACTAGGGCTGTGACGATAAATCAATGCAGAATCTATTCGTGGATCGATTCTGAGGTCTGAGCATCACGATTCACTCTGGAATCGATTCTGAGCTTAGATTTTAAAAACATTAAAACCCATTATAAACTAGGCATTTTGGAAGGCCAAACAAAGTAGTTTTGCTTTCCCAACGAAACACACAGCGTCACACACGGTGGGCTTGAGAACGGCTTGCGGCAACCATATATGACGACCCCGGGCTGGACTCCGCTTCGTCCACGGTGAAAGTCGATCCGCCGATCCACAGCACAAGTTGATGTATTTTCTCAGTGACCAGCACGGATCAGCTCTTTTGGAAGGCCAAACAAAGTAGCTTCACTTTCACAACGAAACGCACAGCGCCTTCAGGACATGGCGGCAGCGGCAGCAACAATACTACAGCGAGAATAAAAGTTACACCTTCTTTCTTTGCGTGAACATTTGGGCGGCGTTCTGCAAATCTTCCCACATAGTGATGTAGACATGTGGGGGCGTGTTAGAACGAGGCGTTTTAGGTAGGCGTGGTTGACTCTTAACTTTTATAAAGAATATCTCTTTGGATTTGAGAATTTAGTCTTTGCAACTTTACAGATCTTCTTTATGCACCAAGAGCTTGTAACACTCCAAAGAGAAAGAAACAATTTAAATCGCATCATATGACCCCTTTAATGTAAACACAGCCCACTGTTCATTTGAATATATCTCTGAGGAGAACTGACACATGCTGCGTCCCAATTCACATACTATCCGTCCTAAATAGTATTCGAAAATAGAATTAGTATGTACCAAATCACAGTGTTGAAAAGAGTATGCCAAAGATTCCCGGATGGTCTACTACTTGAGATTAAAATTCGAAGTGCAGATCGATGCGCACACTAATGGCTAATATTGCCCACAACACATTGCGCGGTGGACGAGGATTCCATTAGAACTACAAACACGCATAAAAAGTGTTTAAAAACTACAAACATGGCGGATATGCGAGACCGACTGACAGGCAGGGAAAGGGGTTTGCGTGATAAATAGCAAGGTCTAACCGGATTAAAAAAATATTTATTTAATGTTATGCTGCGTTATATTTAATTTGTAGCAATATTGTGAGCTTTTATAATGATACGGTTAGTCATTAACTTTTTTTTTTTTATCTGTTTATTGAACTTTTACAATAATAACAGGATACAGATACAGTAGAATCATGAAAAAATAGTTTTTAGTAGTTAGAGTAGTTATAGTATAGTAGTTATAGTAGTTAGAAAAAAAAACCAACAACAAAAAAAACACACTGTATTAAAGTATAATCCGATTAAAATTTTTTAACTCAATACATATTGTAAAACGAACGTCAAGCCTAATGTCTCGAGTATAGAATATATGTTGGAGCATTAAAGTTTAGACATTTCGACCATTTATCAAATGTATGCATATACCTCCACAAACAAAACCTTACAGCTTTAAAGTATATACATATACATACGTACGTATCCACACACATAATCACAGACTCCCAACCAGATTCAGGCCACAGTCATATTAACATCTTAATGCTTAGGTTGACACACTCTAAGAAGTAGTACTGACATATTCAGAAAAATAAATAATGAAGGGATCCCAGATCTCAGAAAATATACCAGTGTTGCCCTTTAACGTATACCTAATTTTTTTCCAAATGAATGAAGCTCATGACATCTCTCATCCAGTCATCGAAAGATGGAGGGAATTTTTGTTTCCACAGCAGGAGAATGCGCCGTCTAGCTAATAATGTTAAGGCAAACGTCTTTACAGTATTTCCAGGTAAACCAGTGACATTTGAAGGAAGTCCATAAAGTGCAACCAAAGGGCAAGGCTCGATCTGTTTCTTTGTCACTAAAGAAAAACAATTAAAGATTGATAGCCGAAAAGAAGTAATGGATGGACATAGCCAAAACATATTAAATCCGCAGGGGCCTGATGGCAACGATCACAGAGAGGATCAATACCAGGCTTGATTTTTGCCAACCTCACTTTTGTCCAGTAAATTCTGTGAATACATTTTAATTGGATAAGAATATGACGTGCACAAATAGAGGAGGTATGAACACGGGACAGGATCCGGTTCCAAGTCTCGTCATCAAATGTGAGGCAGAGATCCGACTCCCATTGTTGTTTAATAAAAGAGAGAGAGGAAGTGGAGCTGGAGGAAATCAGCCTGTATAGCATAGACAACACTCCCTTTTTATCCAAAGCTCCTTCAAGAATCTGATCAAGCGAAGATTTTGGAGGAAGATTCGGAAAGTCAGGGAATGAGTTAACAATTTCGGAGCTGCAAATATCTAAAAAATTGTGCACTAGAGAGAGAATTTTTGTTTCAATTGAGAAAAGCAGTGAAAAACATTATCAATATAAATATCATTGACAACTGAAATCCCTGCTCTCTGCCAAATATTAAACGCCTTGCCATTAAGTGAAGGGGGGAATAAAGGGTTGCGATTTATAGGTGAAACCACTGGTAAGTGCTGAAGGCCAAAATGGGTTCGGAATTGGGACCAAATTCGTAACGATTGCCGAACAATGGAATTACCATAAGGACAACGCGAGATGGCAGTAAGAGGGCCACACAATAGTGCCGCAGGTGAAGCAGGGGAACAGAAACCCTCTTCATTACTGACCCAAGATGGGACCCAATAACTGAGTCCAAAATGACTTTGAAACCTGAATAATGTAGAATGTATATTTGCTACCCAGTAGTAAAATAAGAAATTAGGAAGGGCAAGCCCACCCTCAAGCTTTGATTTCTGAAGTATTTCTCTACGAATTCTGGCTGGTCCTTTATTCCAAATAAAAGATGAGATGTGTTGATTTAGAGTCTTAAAGAAAGATTTGGGTATAAAGATTTAGAGTCTTAACGAAAGATTTGGGTATAAAGATTGGGACACATTGAAATAAATATAGAAATCTAGGTAAAACGTTAATCTTCACTGAATTCACACGTCCAGCCAATGAAAGGGGAAGAGCCGACCAGCGAGTAAAATCCTTCTGGACTCGTTGGAGGAGTGTGGTAAAATTAGCCTTGAATAGATCTAAACACTTACGTGTAATTGTTACTCCCAAATATTTAAAACTATGGGAAGCAACTTTAAACATTGAAGTACTCATTGGTAAATCAGAAATTGGAAAATTTATTGGATATAACTCACTTTTATTTATATTCAATTTATAGCCGGAGAAGAGGCTAAAAGTGTTTATAATTCTCAGAGCTTCGGGCAAAGAAACAACCGGATCGGAGATATAGAGCAACACATCATCGGCGTATAATGAGATTTTATGAACCGCATCAGCTCTCCTAATTCCCTGTATAGCCTGCTCACTACGAATGACAATTGACAGTGGTTCAATTACCAGTGCAAAAAGCAAAGGTGAAAGTGGGCAACCTTGTCTAGTGCCACGTTTTAACGGGAAAATAGAGGAGGATACTCCA